AGTCATTAGCAGTCAATAACTGGTTTTGTCATGTATTCCCTATTGTCTCTCAAAGAGCCTAAAAAAAAAATAATCAGCAGCAATACCTCTGTACAACTCTGACAAAAAGACCCTGTAAATTGGGCAGTAACTGTACTTGGCAACAGGCAACATGTACATACAGAACCGTAATGTGCCTGGAAACAGTCATGAAAGGATCAGACAGTACTATAATTGAAATTGCTATTATCCATTTTCAGTTCAGCAGACAGAAAAAGGTTAAGAGTATCACATGTTGTTACCACAGCACAATCACAGGGCTCAAATACATTACCAGAGTCAGCTGAGTCATATTTTTAGGTGCAAGGGGAAGCAAAGTGCAAATTGGCATCCTGTCTTAAGCATCAAAAATAGTTTATTTTTTTTCCCAAGTCAAAAAACAGTAACAGTGAGACCATTACATTTGAAACCAGCAGTATCTTCCTTATGATCCTTTCCTTCCTAATCAAATGTTTTCTGACAGGTGTTTGTCCAAACTCTTCCTACTCAAGGCGACTCCATGCTTTCCTTGGGCAATTCCATTCAACTGGTTCATGATTTTCACCATGAAAATGTTTTTCACGATATCCACCCTATCCACCCCAAATCTCCATAGCATTTCTTCCTTCTACAGCAGAACCCCAAACTTTCTTCCTTTCATCACTGCAGTTGCCCCTTATATAGTATTCTGGATAGTATGTAGCTTGAACTTTGTATTTATCTATTATTGGGAATGACATTATAAAAAGCAAGTTTCTGCATAAGTGAAAATTAGCTCAATATGCAGTTCATCTTCAAAGCTACCAGCATACTTATCTGCTCTTCAACCAAGTGCAAGCAGAACTCTCAACCTGCAGCTACAGCACAAGGATCTGAGCAGAACACGTCTCTTTACACCAACCAGTGCAACGGCTCACAATTCTGTGTCCATAAGCACAAACTTCATCATGCGGTCAGTTTAATATAAGCTGAGAAGCTGCAAGGACAGAATGTGAAGATTTAGCAAGCATTACGCGTGGGGAGATGCTGAAACCCACAGATTAGGGGAAGTCTGAGAACAGCAGCTAGTCACCAGAAGGCCACAGGTGGCTGGACATTCTGCAGGGACACAGGGCTGGTAAGGCTTAAGTAGCTACAGAGGGACACAATGCCTTCCATGGAGAATTGATTCACTTGATTTCATAGTAACTTAGAACTGACACTTCATAGACGCTACAGGCAAAAAAATCCAATACAGAGTTACCAAAATTCTCACTGTTAATAAGGAGTGCAGAGCATTTTAACCTGAGTAATAATGCCCTCAAAAGACTGTATAAACTCTAACATGAGACCTAAAGAGAGGACAGTCTGCATCAGTTGAGAAGGGAAGAGTGATCGATGTCACATAATGGTAAGACAACTCTGCAAGGCCTCTGACGTGGTCCTGCCACTTACTGATCTCTCAATGGACAGATAAGGATTTGAAAGGTGGAACTGCCCAGTGAATTAGCAATTGGTTGGATGGCTGCAGCAGAGGGCTGTGGTGAGCAGCTCCATACCCAGGTGGAGGCAGTACAGGTGGTGTCTCCATGGGTCTGCCTTTGGACCAGTACTCTACCATCTGTTTCTGTGACATCGACAGTGAGATCAGGTGCGCCCTGAGCAACTTTGCAGATGACACCAAGCTGAGTGGTGCAGCTGATGACAGAAGGAAGGGATGCCATCCAGAGGGACCCGGAGCTTATAAACAACATGGAAACTGACTTTTTACATGGTCTGATGTGCCGGGACAAGGAAGAACGGCTTTAAACTAAGAAGAGGGGAGATTTAGATGAGCAAATTCATTATTATGAGAGCACTGAGGTCCTGGCGCAGGCAGCCCAGAGCTGTGGGTGTCCCATTCCTGCAGGTGCTCAGAACCATGGATGGGGTCCCAGGCTGCCCGAGCTGGTGGGCAACAGGGATGGGGCTGGGGAAGCTGTAAGGTCCCCTCCAACCCAATCATGTTCTGATTCTGTGAACTGTGCATGAGCATGCTGAAAGGCTAAAACAAAATGAAAAGTGCAAATTTTATAGGTTCTTCACTAATCTCATTAGAGAGTTGCCCCTCAGGGACAATCCCCCTCAGCATCAACATGAAGTATGTTACTGACAATCATTTCAAAAGAAGAATGCAAAAGAGCAGAAGTTTTTAAAGAATAGGAGAAACACACTGAAAACTTGGTAGAGAGGAAATGGAAAATAATAGAATAATTAAAACAAAGTAGAAGGAAAAATAATGAGAAAATGAACTTCTTCCTGCTTTAATAGTCAGTATGACACGGATACAGAAAAAAGTAATACAAGTTGACCTCCTGAAGCCAACTACTACTATTCAACAGATCTACCATTAATGTAAGTGAAAAATCTAATAAAAACTAAAATGAATAGGCAGGTAGCTACTTCACCCTCAGTCTCTCATTACAACATCATCATCCCTAGAGACTTGCTCAGTAGGAATGGAACTGGTATCTAGGCAAGGAAGAAAGAATATGCAATAGATAAGCAAGAGGTTTTCAGCTTCAGTCAAGAGAAGAATAAGATGCCAAAATACTGTGAGAAGACAGAAAACAAGGCATAACTGATAAGTAGCATTAATATATGCATAGACTGATACTGTTACAGTAATGGGTTTCATCTCTAGAATACTGGAGGTTTAAACAGTACAGAGTATCATCAGTAACAACCATTAATGATGCTACTGCAGCCTTACCCGGACTGCAGGTAAGGATAATATATCCCGTCCTTAATCACCACTCTGTATTTCAGAGTAAAAACAGAACTGCACTAATGACACACGCTGTCATCCAAAGATGCATCCAGCAGAGCCAGTCTCTAGATTCCAAATTCAGTCAGTAGCATCGCTCTTCAAACCAAACTGCTGAAAATTTATTCAACAGCTGTAATACTGGGTGGAGGAATAGCCTGCATGAGAACCAGCTTTTTATTCGGTGCCAGCAGTGCAGCAAGATCTATGTCACCTATTTGGACTTCACTAAGACCCATGACACAATCCTCCATGACACCTTTCTCTTCAAATTGGAAATATATTAATTTAATGGGTAGGCTGTTGAATGGATGAGGAAATGGTTGCGAGATTGTGCCCAGAGAGTGGTGGTTAATGGCTCAACGTTCAGATGGAGATCAGAGACAAGCAGTCCCTCAGGGGGCAGAACAGGCACCAGGTCTCTTAAATGCTTTCATCAATCACATCAACAGTTGAATCAAGTGCACCCTCAGAAAGTTGGTAGATTATGCCAAGCTGTGTGGCATGGTCAACACACCTAAGGAAGGGCTTGCAATCCAGAGAGACCTAGACAAGCTGAGCAGTAGGCCCAGGTGGTTTACATGAGGTTTACAAATCCAAATGCAAAGTCCTGCACTTAGGTTATGGCAATCCCTGCTATCAGTACAAGCGGAGGGACATAACGATGGAGCAGAGTCCTACCAGTACCAGTGGTACTGGTAGATGACAGCTGGATGTGAGCCAGCAGTGTGCTCTTGCAACCCAGAAAGCCAGCTGTATCCTAGGCTGCATCCAAAGCAGCGTGGGCAGCAAAGAGAGGGAGATGATTGCATCTCTCTACTCTGTGCTGCGAGACTTCACCTGGAGCACCTGGAGTGTCTAGAGGCGAGTCCTCAGCACAGGAGAGACGCGGACATATCGGGTGCAACAAAACTGACCCAAGGGATGGAATACCTCCCTGTGAGAGAGCTGGGGCTGTGCAGCATGGAGAGCAGAAGGCTGTGGGGAGAGCTGACAGCAGTTTTTCAATATCTAAAGGGGCTGTACAAAAGAAGGAACAGACCCTTCAGCCTGGTCTGTGCAATAGGACAAGGGGAAATAGTTTCAAACTAAAAAGGGAGATTTAGATTGGATATGAGGAAGAAGTTGTTCACACTGAGGGCAGTGAGGCACTGCACGGGGTGCCCAGAGAGCTGGTGCTGCCCCATCCCTGCACACAGCCACGCTCAGGGCACGGCGCTGTGAGCACTGCTGGAGCTGTGGGTGTCCCTGTGGGACCAGATGGCCTTCAGGGATCCCTCCCAACTTAAACCATCCTATGACACCATGATCTGTTGTACTACAGGTACATGTTTGACACATCAAAAAAATTATTTCTCAGCTTTAACAAAACAGACTCGTTTTCTGCTTATCCGGGAGCCCACGGCCGTATACGCATCAGGCTGACAGTCGTGCTCTCCTCCACACAGAAGCACGCTCCAACAAGCCGTATGCAAAACCACACAGGCAAATAACGGTCCGCACGTGCGTAACGGCGCAGGCACCGCTGCCCGCACCGCGCTCCCTCGCTCCTCAGCCGGGCGGCGGGCAGGGAAGGGGCGGGAAGAGGCGCCGCTCTCAGTCCCTCACAAAGTCCCGGGAAGAACCGCCGAGCGCCCCGCGAGAGAACCGCGGCTGTGCCCGAGGCCCCGCCGTCCCGGAGCCTCGCTCCCTCGGCACGTCCGCGGCCCGCCGGGGAGCCGCCCCGCCCTGCCCCGCTCCTCACCTCCGCGGGGCCTTCGCTCCCTCCCCCCCTCCCGCCCCGGGATCCGGTCCGGGGACGCGGCCCGCCCGCGCGCCGCAACTTCTCCCGACGCCCCCGGGAGGCCGAGCGGGCGGGAAGCGACCGCCCGCCCCGAGGGCCGCCCCGCCGCCACTCACCCGGGGGGGCTCCGCGTCCCGCTCCCGCCGCCGCCGCCCCCGGCCCTCCGACGCGGCCCCCGGTGGGGCGGGCGGCGCCGCCTGTTGCTCCATCGCGCTCCGGCCCCTCCTCCGCCGCCGCCTCCGGGGGCCGCCGCCGCCCCTCGCCGGACCGATCCCGCTCCGCCCGCCTGGCCCGCGGCGCCACGTTCCGGGCCCCGGCTCTGAGGAAACCGCACTGCCCCCGGCCCCGCCCCCGGGGCTGGGCTCCGCTCGGACCCCGGCCGCCCCCCGCCCGACGGCGCCGAGGCCGGACGTCCTGCCCCGCGCCCGGCCGGAGCCCGAGTCCCTCTCGTCCCGCCGAAGCCGAAGGTAAGCGGGCGGCCTGCCGCCAACCTCTGTGCGCGATTCCGAGCTCCGTCTTCACAAAGAACCTAGACCCAAATCCTTGTACTGCCATGAAGGCAGAAAATCTTCTCCTAAAGGCAGCAGAAGCCCCAGTAGCATTTCTAGGATGAGTGGCATTCCATGTCTCACCTCTTCAGGATTCAGGGACAGTTGCCCGCGACCCATGACATTGTTCTCACCAAGCACGGGAACATGCACTCATCAGCTTTCTGGAACCAGCACCTAACCTAAAATCTTCCAAATGCTGCAGACTCTACCAGTTGAAAGAGACTCACAGAACTGTTAGAGTTAGAAGGGACACCCAAAAGCCGTCTGTTCCCACTGCCTGCAGTGCACAGGGACACCCACAGCTCCAGCAGTGCTCACAGCGCCGTGCCCTGAGCGTGGCTGTGTGCAGGGATGGGGCAGCACCAGCTCTCTGGGCACCCTGTGCCACTACCCTTTGCATAAAAACTTCTTCCTTGTATGCAGTCTAAATCTTCCCTTTTAGTTTGAAATCATTTCCCTTGTCCTGTCAGAACATACCCTGCTAAGGGTCTGGCCCTCCTTTCTTACAGCCCCTTTAGATGCTTAAAATCCATCCTCTGCTCTCCCCACAGCCTTCTCTTCTCAGCCTGTCCTCACAGGGCAGATATTCCATCCCTTGGATCATTTTTGTGACCCTGTAATGCTATAATGCAAATGAAAGTACAGCAGTAACAGCAGTGGTACAACCCTAGGCTGTAGGGAATGAAAACAAGCTCAAACAGAGCAGCTAAAAACACAAAAACAAAGGAAGAAAAGGTATTGGCCTTTCAAAGACCTCAGACAGAGATCTCCAGCAAGGTACCCACTGCTCCACTGCCTGCCCTTAAATGAGGGAAGGGCTGGATCCTGGCTCCACTTCTTCCAGTCACTCAGGTACATTACACGCATCTGAGCTCCCCTGGGTTTGCCCTGCCTTCCCACCAGGTGCTCAATGACTGCTTCAGGCTGAGACTCAGCATTTCCACTACAGGCCCTCATGAAACGAACATGCCAATTGTTGTGCAAATACTGCATCTCACCATTTACAACGATGGATACAAGTGTCTCATAACACACCTGAACTCTGCAACAGACACAAAGGAGAAAAACTTACCTCCTGAGTGTCTTATCTTAATTTATACTTGACAGTGCTTTGCTCTGTAATGGATTGGGCTTTATTCTTTCCTAATCCATTTACAGTAAATGTCTCTAATCATAACGTGGATGGTTTTAGGCTAAAGTTATTAAATTGTTCTCTCTTACTAAATAATTAAATTCATATCCTCAAGCAATTGGCACACAGTCCAAAAACTTTTTCACTTAACAGACAAGAAAATTTAAAATTGTTCCTCAGTTTAATTCCTTGTTCTTCTCTTACAGCTTAACAAATGATGTAAGGAAGATGGATACCACGCTTCTTATTCAGTCCATCCTAAGGTAAATAAACAGTACACACTTTTCAAGAAGAGGACAGTTAGCAGGTACAGGCATTTTAAGGACTGCAGTTATTCTAACCATAGCCCTTGTCATAGTGGATTTCTCTTTATGCATTTCCTGAGGAGTTCACAGACATAATTTTGTGCCTGGTAATACTACAGTTAAGGCAAAAGCTCAAACTTTGCATTTCATGTAGGAGGATACTAAGCAATACCTTCAAACATAAGCTAGAAATTGGAACAGAAGAATGCAGAAGTGTAGATGGTAATGAATTTAGCCTCAAGTTTTTTCATAACTTCATCCAAGAAGAACCATCTTTTCCTGACACTCCTCTTGAATCAAACAGATGGATGAACTCCAGAATGACTACTTGTGTAAATCCCCATGCATACACAGCAGTAACTTCACTCTTACAAAGTTATTTTTATTTATCAATTGCATCTTCAGTAGTTACTCCAACAATAAGATTTTAAAAAATAAAAATTCTGCTCTCCATAAAATAAAGCAATAATTAACAAAAAAAGTCCCTTTTTTCACCTCATTTTCTGAAATGACGTGGAAGGAGCAGCATGCTTAGAAGAGACAGGTTCATCCTCATTTTCATGGAGACGTTTTCTCGTAGCAATTGGCTAAAGGAAAGATGCAGCATGATGGCTACATTAATCAGGTAAGACAGAGCCTGACTGTTTTGTCTACTGCAGAATTACAGATGCTGGATAAAGTCTCCCTCCTGTAACTGAAACAGCAGCATGACTAATGAGTGTTTCTCTCCAGTGATCTAATGGCAAGTGATCCTTCTCATGTAAGACACTGCCCTTACTCCCTTTTCTGTTTCAGCCTCTCCCAGCTTTGACTACTGTTTAAAATAATGCTAATTGCTATCTAATAATTAATATCACAATACCACTTCTAAGCTTTTAATGCCATAAGAATTTTCCTTTGAATATTACATGTTCATGACTCAAATCCATCAAAACATACATACTCACATACAGAACTTTAAATATATGGATAGTCTTTTAAAACCTAAGAGACAGTTTGTTTACATTCAAAGTGTCTTGCCAAAGCACAAAAGTAAACTCCTTCTACTAAGACTGCAGGAAAGAATTAGTGGACTGCTGCATAAAGGCAGAAAGTACACTTCTATACTAAATTATCAGGATTACATTTTCTTATTAGGGTTTACTTTTAAATCTAGCTTTGGCACCAAGTATTAATCTTCACATAATCTGTCATTCATACCATTTTTGATGTTTGTGGTGGATTCATAGTGGCACTTGTCTGAGCAAGTAGTTGTTGAAATGTATTTTTCATATCCTCATCCTGTTAAAAGTAAAAAAAAAAAAAAGGATCAGCCTTAAATACTATATGGAATGTTTAAGGTGGACCAGCAATTGTGGAATGAATAAAGGAGAAAAGGACATAACTTTTCCCCTCACCATTAGAAAAATAAAACATGTAGTGCTAGGAGAAAGGAGCTGAAATGACAGTCCCAGATTGCTATAAAACACTGCACAGTGTCACAATTCCTTCTCTAAGGTTTCCAACATCAGGCCCAGTGAAAGAAGAGGTGAATCTATGCTTAACAGGACACAACTGAGACACAGACTTAGGAAACACCACTTTACAGCAAATAGGTTACATTTTATCAGGGCGTCGGTCCTTGGAAACATCGGCTCTATTCCCCAACCAAAATCTGGAATGTGTCACTTCTGGCAAATAACGTCGTAACAAACAGAAAATTCCAGAATAAACACCTCAAGGACCTCCAACAGCTACAGTTAAACTGATCCAACCTTCCTTCATCCCTCCCATTGGCCCCCAAAATTAACATCATCCTAACCTGTCCCAGAGAATTTTCAGCAGCTGGTTTATGTACAGCGTTGGTAAGGACAAAAACAGCTCTACTTCGTTCTACAAATACATTATTTCCCTCTCTAAGTACTTAGCTAATACCAGTCAAGCAAAAACTGAAATAATAATACCATGCAATGAAGTGCAACAATACTGAAAGAACACAGCATGCAGGGCTAGGTGTTTGTGCAGATAATTCACTGGTCAGTTTTATCAGGAGGCCTCATCAGGGCTTGGGACCCAGCTTTCATCAAAATCAAGTTCCTCGCTCTTGAAAAACAAGTATTTTCTTACATTTCATTTTCATAATGACTTCCATTCCTACCAGAATATTTTCATTTCCACCAGCTTAGCATCATCTCAACGTGCAGTTTTTAATCACGTCTCCAACCCACCATCATCCTTCCAAACAATCTATTGTGTACTCTAAGTAGAGAAGAACCAGCTAAAACATCCATACTAAAATGACAGGAACAACCTCTACTTTTAAAACACCCCACCATTATCTCTACCTTAAGTCCATTTATCAAAGGTTGTAAATGGAAGGTTTCACTTTTAAAAACCCAAATGATTGTTAACAAATATTTCTTATTCATAGGCTATGCACATTGCTACACTGTTCCCTACCATAACAAGTTCACTGGATTATACAGTTCATCCTCTACCAGAAGTGGTAAGTCAGAAGCTGCCATTAATGGGAGAGACACTGGAAAGAAGTGGACATAGGGATGTTATTAGTAGCACTTCTGCATAAAGAAGTGTGGCTGCAGGAGCATTAGTAGAGGAAAGAGCAGCACAAGATAGGAAAGCACAGATCATTTCTTAGGGAAAGCTATCATTTAACAGAAAGCCAGGTGTGTTTCAAGAGAAAAAGCTAGCACATAGATGCATTCTGGTTCAGCTGCCAAGGACTGAGGTGCCCTTGGTCTATGCTGGGCAACCTCAGGGAAAAAGGAATTCCACATGCAAAAGACATTTAGTTGACATAGTAAACTTCCTCTTCTGAAAATAAAACCTCGTTCTCTAGTTTCAGCAACTTCTGCAGGAATTTTATTAAAAATGGGTTACTGTGGATTACCTGCAAACCCTAAATCAGACTTCCAAAGTTGAAATCAGATCTTGAAACCTTGCCTGGGACTACCTGAAGTATGCTGCTCATTGTGATTTTAACTTAGATCATTTCCTTTGGCTGAGCTTTGAACAGTGACTGTAGGTTCACCAGCTGAACAACTGATCTAGAACCAAAAACAGACATTTATTCTTAACAACTACCTGAATATAACAATTTCTGTAATAATTTTGTTCTATTATCACAGCAAAGATTGGGAAAATCAGGGAAGAGTGAATGAGACATTCACTGGCAGAGGTTCAAGAGAAGTAAGGATCACTGAGCTCCTGTGGGTTTCAAAAATTGTAACCCTTTTTTGGGTGGAAGGCAGAGGAGATGGGTTCTTATTCTAAACTACAGAGTATTGCAGCATCTCCTTTTTTGGTTTAAATATGTTCTTTAGCACTACAGCAGCTTCAATGTGAACGCATAATTTATTTTAAATGGAATTTGGACTCGTCTTTTTCCAGTGTCACGTTTTTCAATTACATAACACCTTTTTTTTTTTTTTAAATTGAGCTGTAAAAATTATGTTTTGTTTGGAGAACGTGTGCTTACAATAACTGAAAAGTTCTCTAGAGGACCCCAGATCGCTAGAGGGGGCTGACATGCTACACACTTTAAGTATGCATCTTGTGCGTGTTCCAAACGAGACTTTAGAGGTAATACTTACAGCACAACACAAGAGGGAGCACGGAGCCAGTAGCTCCTTCTCACTACTTGTGATCACAAGACTCTAGCAGCTTTGTTGGTGACAGTACTCGAGGTTTGTGATATTTAGAACTGAACATATTGCATGTTGGCCTCTCAAAGCACGCAGTATATCACCTATAAAAAACTGACATTTTTAATAACAGCCCACGAAGAGAAGCAGCTTGAAGAGTGACTCCTGAATGCTAGATGACATACAGATTTACAGGTAAAATGCTGTATAAAACTTCTTGTCCTGTCTTCAAAACCAAACATATCAGTAAGAGCTGCCCCTAAAGAGTACATATAGTCAAGAGGCTCCGAGCTTCACTTCACATACTGACAGATCTCAGTCTTGTGTAAATCGCTGTCATATACTTCCCTCTTTCCCATAATGCATATCAGTGATTCTTAAAATCAGTATATCGTGGTTTGTCAGTAACTTACCCTGCTCAGCATTATAATCAAAATGTAAGAAGCTACAGCCAATTAACCCACTGCAGAAATTATGCACAAAACTACAGTAGTAAAAGCCAGGAAAGGTAGAAAGTATTTCTGGATGCCCAACAACTGAGTTACTTACAAACAATTACCCAACTGAATATTCTGTCTCAGTAAGTAGCAGCTGCTGATTTGAGTGATTCTCCCTTGCTTCAGCCTATGTGGGGGGCATACAATGTCACAGGAGCTACAGTTCTATGAGATAGTTAAGCTACAGAGGTCATAGAATGTTTTGAGTTGGAAGGAACCCTTGGAGGTCCATCAAGTCCAACTCCCCTGCAACGAACAGGGACGTCTGCAGCTACATGAAGTAATATTCAGGTAATAAAGAGAAAACTGAACAGACATAAAATTAAGCATAGTGTGGTTACTTTGGAGAAGACAGGAATAAATAATTCCTTTCTCTCTCTGGCAGAAGTATATGATTTGGAAGGATTTGGAAGGATTTGTGGTGTACTCATGACAAGGTGGAATACCTGTGGTGTACTCATGGCTCTGCGTTGTCAAAGGCAGACGAAGGAGAAGTCAAATTAGAAGCAGAAATTAAGCAAAGAGGTGTTTATGATGGGAAAGGCACTGAACAGCATCAAGCAAGGCTATAAGACTAGGAACAGCAGCAACAACAGTAGAAAAAGAACATGGAACTGAGAAAATTGAGAAATCATACATACCATGGGAGGGGGTAAGAGCTAACAAAGACTCTGTGAGGGCCAGTGGCCAAGAAGACAAGCACAATGAAAAACAGCAGGGGGCCTAGCTGACTTTGCAAGAATTTAAAATAAGGAAAACAGGAAAAAATGAGAATCTCCATGCTGTAGAGAGAGCATTTGTTGGGACAGCAGTGAAGCAGGTTTGCTCTGTACACCGCAAGAAAGTCCTTGGCACACAACTAGGTACTGCATGGTCATCTTGCTTGCAGCAGCAATCTCTTCAAAATGTTCACTCTGGTTTCAAATTGTTCAACAGGAAAGTTGTGACTACTGGCATCTGGGCTAATGTCATTCTACAGATTGGGATCTGATGGCTCATTTTCCCATATGTCATTCACAATGCCAGTAAAAGAAATGAACAAGTCACAGACACACAGTATGCTCCTCCCTTCTCATCTCCCTGCAAATAGGTATCAGGATCCCTGCAGTCTTACAGCAGCCAGCAGAAACAGTGGGGCCAGCTGGCAGGCAGCAGCACCTGCCCATGAGAAGCACAACGTGGCAGCTGCTCTTCTGCTGGCTGCTGTCAGGGGCAGCCTACAAACCAGTGGATGGAAGCTCTGCCTTAAGGAAACTGCTGTTATTCCCTAGAAGCTGCAGAACTGAAGCTCTCCTTTCTCATCACCTTTTCTGGCATTCTCCACAGATGCAGGATTGGGTACACAGAGATCTCTGGTGACCAGGGCAGTCACAGTTTCTCTGCTTCTTTGCAAAAGCAAAACCTCATGAAACTCAAGTTATTGAATGGCCTTTGAATTTATATCAAGAAATTATCTCCAGAACAGCTCATCATGGCTGTACTTAACAAACTCAATTCCTACCTGAAGCCAGGGATGCTCTAAGGCTTCCTCTATCGTAAAACGTTTGCTTGGATCCACTACCAACAGCTTCTTCACAAGATCCAGAGCTAAGATAATAAGAGTTAAGCAATCAGCTACTTAAAAAATGCAAACAGATCAACATGCAATGTACCACAAAAATGAAAACTGAAAGGAAGTTAAAACAAAAGAAAAGATCTAGATATTCTGCTACCTATATAAAGGAGTCATACCCATGTTGGATACGTGTTTCCATTCTTTTGAAATGAACGTGTATTCTCCACGAGTGATTTGGTCTTTCAGAGATAGTTGAGTGTTTTGCTCATTAAATGGCGGATATCCACACAAGCTGTATAAAAGAAAACAAACAACACGGGTTTTGTCACAGTGTCATTTACATGTATACATTTTTAAACACACTTTCACTTCCTACTAAATACACTGAAGTTGCCACATCTTGAGCCACGTATCTCAATGAAAGCCCAAGGCATCTAAGCAGTATCTTACCATACAAAAAGAATAACTCCTAAACTCCAGCAGTCCACAGCTCGGCTGTATCCAGCAGTCCCAAGTGAATTTAGAACCTCAGGAGCAAGATACGTGGGAGTACCACATAATGTTTTCATAAGAGAAGTTTCTCCAAGAATCTTGGATTGTCCAAAATCTGTAATCTTGTATGTAAAAATTGTAACACCACGTTACATATTGACTGGACTAGAACATACCACATCCTCAGTGCACAACAGAGGTAACATTAAGTCTCTTCTTTCCAAGACACAGTTCCAGTACAAGACTATGAACAGAATATACCTCAAACATTATTAAAGTCAGCAAACAGCAATTGAGGAGAATATGAGTAGGGAGAAATATGACAGAGGATCAGACTTCAAACTAGCAAAAAGTATTCTCAAATCTGGATGTGAACGGGCAACCTCAGAATAAAGGTATTTTTGCATATTAGAAGACACCACTTGAACAAATCATTTTGACATGCACATCTACTTAATGCTTTCTGAAAAAACATACAGCTCTGTCATCATATAGCCTGGATATTTGTGAAAATGCTTTCTGAAATTCACAAATATAGATTTTTATTTTTAAAGATGGCACCACATTTAAAATTGTGCCCAGTTAAATGTTAAAGAATACAGTTTCTCAGTCATTCTCACAGAAACGTATGGGTAGAACTATCCACGAGAGTAAAACTGAACATATGAAAAGCCTCAAAGTTTTAGGTTACTTCACAACTTGTATGAGTAATTCTATTGTTTGTGTGCTATGTTTAACTCAATACTGAGAAGCACAGAAAGGAGTACTCCCAAATCTCCACACGAGCAGGAGTAATGTAAGTTTCCTTGCCTTTATCAGACATGTCTCTTCAGAAGATGAAAGCAGCACGTTCTCTGGCTTCAGATCCCGGTGTATGATTCCATTGTCATGAAGATACTAGATAAACACAAATACACATACATGAAGAAAAGCAGACTATTATCCTTCTTTAAGATGTATGCTTTCAGTTTTTCAACTAGCACTGGCAGGATAACTGAAACTGCTATTCAAGAGACATGCATGCATTTAAAGCTACACAGCTCATGATCTTTTTTAAAGCCAAAGAAGTCCACCCTTCAGTTTGCAAAGACCGAAATGCTTCGTCAGGGCGCACAGTGCAGCACTTAAGCACTAATAGTTTGAAGGCTTTGCTCACACACTACTGCAAGTCTCACATGATAATCCTGCCTCAGTGAGCACAGTCTGTGTTACTGCCTCAATCTCTGGTGGTGGTTTTAAGAAGTAAGAGAGTTTGAATGCTATTTGGCTGTACTGAAGTACAGAATCTTGTTACAATTACTTGTTAATAGCACTGTGCTGATTACTCTCATAAGTTTCAGAAGTGACAAATAACAAAAAAATTCATCCAATTGACATGTAAATGCATCACCATATTTTCCTTGACAGAATTCACGATTACCTTCACAGCCAGCAGCATCTGATAAAAGTACAACTTGCAGGTAGCTTCTTTCATCTTGATTGGCCTTGACACTCTGTCATACAATTCTCCTCCTTCCATCCTAAAACAGATGTAGGTAACAAGTCAATATATTACTTTCAAAAGTTTCATCTCATTACACAAGACCAAGACCAAAATTGTTTCTTTTGGCTCTAAAATATATTTCAATTCTGAAAATGAATGAGCAATGCTCCAAGCACAGCACAGGCATTGCTGACTTAAGGCCTAATCTTCTGAAGTCTTCACTGGAAGAAGTTACAAGATTTCTGATTTACATCCTCTTATCAGCTCAAAATCAAGTAGCAGCAACCCAAATCGGCAGCATAGTGGGTGTCTATTCAAGGCACTAATTGCCTTCAGTGTGTAGAAGTGATTAATCCCCTCATTATCCCAGCTCCTGATTTTACAGAGGCTTCAGACAGCGCTTGAAGCCAGCAAAAGGAAAAGAAAACAAGAAGAAAACACGCATACACAACAGAATTCAGAACTATTTACATTCTTTATAGCTGTGGAAGACATTTCATGCCTTTACTTTCAAAGCTGTTACTTACAGTTCCAAAACAATGTAGTAATCCTCTGCTTCGAAGAAGTTTTTGATCTTGATTAAGCAGGGCTAATAAAAAGGGAACACAGATGGACACATGGAAAAGTAGAACCAGTTGTAAAAACCAATGCTATCAACTGCGTATCATCTTGAATTTCCTATTTCAGTCTGATTTCCCCATGGCAGCTAAATTAGCACTTACACAACCAATAGGCTTTGGCAAACAAAGTCTGTCATCTTCTCCCCTGTACTTCACCCCCCATACAAATAACACTGAATTCTTGTCACCACTACAGCTCAGCAGTCACCCTTACTTTTTCCAGTCGTCAGATTCCACAACAACCCCGATATCTTCTTGATACACAAGAGTTCATTAATCTGTGCAAGCTTTCTACTTAACGAAAGGAAAATAAAAGACTTTGGGTGAGGGGGAGCTGGAAAGATAAGGACCCAGCTCAAGAACTTGCCAGAGGAGTGTAATGTTGATTATCTGGCAATCTGTATGAAGCCTGCATCAAGGAGAGATTTCTCCCACCGCTATGGTTCAGGTTGAAAACTGCTCTGCAAAGTGCCTTCCCAAATTTACATCTGAGACATCAAGACTTTAAAACCTCCTACCTGCAAAGATACAGTATACTTAAAATAATTTGAAACGTGCTGAACAGACTTATTTAGGCTGCAATAATGACATGCATCATTCTCTAAACAGGTAAAATCAATCGTTACTATGCTAAATCTGTGAAGCAGAAGAGTGCAGTACACAGCAGAATGAATACAAATGTACAGTGACACTCACATGATCTATTTTCTTCAAAATCTCTATTTCTGTGTTGATATTAAAAGCCGGGTTCTGTTAAAAGAATCAAATATCATATGGAATCATACAGCAATATTCTAGGATAAGACACTTCAGAAATAAAGTTCCAACTTAAAAACTTAATCTCAGCCAGCAGATACCAGCACTGTCCTTTGAACAGCTTTCTCCTCCCTTCGAGATGTTTCCCACGTGAGCTACCCTAAAGTTAAATGCTACTCACTTTTACTCTTTATTATGCTAGAGAAAATAAAAAATTGATCTGAAAGTATCTGCATCTACTTCCTCCTCTGAGCCTCTACCACTGGAAATTAGAGAAGCATTCACTGAGCTTGTATATAATCCTGCAGAATTAACAAGGTGAGTCTAACCTGTTTTAACTTCCCCTATGAACCCATAGCTGCAGATTTTGTATCTCCGTTCTCATTCATTTTCAACCTCTGTTTGTATTTTTTCTTCACAGTTCATCCTGTATCTCTGTATCAAACGAGAGTGATCGATCTGAAGTTGTTTGAATATCTCTCATGTTACAGCCACAGCTCCTTCTCTAGCAGCTATGAAAGCAGACATGAGGAAAGCCCTCCCCAGCAGGCTTCACACCATTTCATTTAAGTGTTATGATGGAACGTACAACACAATTAGCAGAGCTTAGAGACCTCTGGTCAGACCTCCCTGCAGTGTAAATTTCTGATGTGCTTTAGGAGATACATCCCAAGACTCCCCCACTCCCCTCATTTGTGTGTACTGCATGAACAAGCAGTCCTAACAGTGTGGTCAAAGAATGAAAGCAAGCGTTTGCTACAAAAGGGAGAGTAAGAGATAAAGGCTGCCATATCAGGATGGCTGCAATGTGGCCGAAGGACAGAAACAAAGGTACTTACTGCCTCTCTAACACCACTGGCCATGAACTTCCGCTTGTTGATTATCTTTACTGCAACTTTATTACAAGTGCTCTTCTCAAACGCCAGTTTGACTTCTCCACAGGCACCACTAGCATGAAAGCACAGCTGTGTTAATGCTTACAGATACCTTCCTAACTCGGCCTAAGAAGCTTGCTGAAATGAACAGGAGGCTCTCGCCTCATTAAGACTACATGCAATCATGTAGTTTTCCACCTTTCTCAGTATGACAGATGGACAAAACTATCTCAGAAAACATTCAATAGTATTTAAGTACTGATGGTGTCGGATCCCAGTTTCGACCAACTACAAACACATAAATGTTCTTGCATGTAAAGAAAATAGAAAGATAGAAGGAAAAAAAAGATACTTTCAAATCTTGAGCAATTAATTCAGAAATCACAACCTATGGCTTTTAAGCATCTCACATCTCTGATAACTCTTGATTCTGGGATACTCTAAGTGATAGATAATGATAAAAAGCATTAACTGATCACTGAAGACATACAATATAATTTTGGTGAGGTTCACTAAAATTACAAACTCAACTCCTTTCTTGATACTCTGGTCTTAATAAACACAGTGTGCCACAACATGTCTGAGGCTAAATCTGTTGAGTAAGCAAAGACATTGCCAGTAAGTGTCAGGTTTTGGCATTCACATAAAGGGAAATAATTAAGGAACTGCACTGCTTCGTGGTCTCTGTTAACACAGTTGTTGATCCACTTGAAGCTGCAGCTGGAAAAGCGTTTGTCAGTAGGACCACGTCCATTTGTGTTTTATCTTCATTGAAACCCACCACAGTCATTAGAACACTCATCACAAACTACTGAAATAATCTCTGTTAAACCAAAGCACTGCAATCCTTATCAAACTTATTTGCTGTGTGCAACAAACAGAAGGTAAACACACTGCTAATGGTACCTGCTGCCCTCCCTGCCCCGTAAAACACCTGAAATAGCTGTGGCATTGGAAAAACTACAACAGCAGCTCAGGAAGCACAGTACTGAAAATGGCAACAAAATGAAGGGATGCTTACCTTCCCAAAGTCTTTGACATGATATACTTCTCTCGGAATTCTCTAGGAAACACCAACTGGTCATCCACCGTGAGATCAGAAAAGACAAACACTAGGGAGAGGGGTGGAGAGCATCCTCCTGTTATTCACTTCAAAGTGGTTACAACGACACTTCCCGAGCTTTTATGGTCAACAACACAACCAAGCAAACGCTGCCCGCCAGAAACAGCACAGAAATAGTAAGGAAAACAAGAATTAGAAAATTCATATTAAAAAAACAACCATCAGCTGATGCTGCAAATTACACCGATGATCGTTAAGCAGGCAATCTCATCACTGAAAAACAAGACCTTGGGTCTGTGCCAAACACAGCGATAAACTTATGGCTGTTCTTATGACTTCAGCCACAGGGCATTCACAGAGACAAGGGAAATATTCAAATCACTGCACAAAGAACCACCAGGTGAGCACCAAAAGAACCTGCACACGTCGTGGTATGTTTTACCCTTGTTAGTCTGAATGGACAGGGCGATTTCAGAGTTATGAGTCAGCGGAAGCCTCTTCCCTTTCCCTATGAGCTCCCTATTAACGAAAGTTCCATTCGCGCTGTGGTCTTCAATGTAGGCAACGTACGAATTTTTTGGTCCCATTTCCTAGAAGGAAAAGAAAGAAATCAGAAAGACAGTAAGAGAGAAAAAAGGACTACAGCAGTTTTGAGTGTGGGCTCAAAACATAGGTGTATTTCATAAAGCTGGAGAGGGAACAGCACCTGGTTAAAGGAGTCAGTGCTGAACATGGCAAACTTTGAGCTCATTAAGATCCCAGCAAAAGTTCACCTTTCTCAATTACGTCCATACACACAAATAACCTTTTTACCACCTACCCTGAAAATTCGGAAGTGCTTCTTGCTGTAGTTCTGGTAAAATCCAGTCTCAGATAATCCGAGCTTAGAAAAACTGTAATCGCAGCTTTTGTCTCTTCCAAACCAGTACTCATCATTCACACAGTCTGCAGCCAATTGGAGAGAACACAACATTGCAGGCACTGATTAACTACTGCTCTACAGAATGAAGCCACAAATGTAAAGTAGGATCACAAAGACATCAGCGTTCCCTTCTCCTAACTCCAACAAAACACCACACTATACCAATCCTTTATTTGAGGAAGATGTTCAGAGGGCTGGAGCACCTTTCCAGCACAAAGGCTGCGGGAGGAGGATCAGGAGAGCTCACTGCAGCCTTCCAATACTTGTAGGGCACTTACAAGCAGGAAAGGAGTGACTTTCGCATGGTCTCATAGTGACAGGATATGGGGGAGTGGCTTTAAAATTAAAGAGGGAGATTGAGGTTGGATTGAGGAGGAAGCAATTCTTCCCTCGCTGTCCTGGCAGCGCTGCCCAGAGCTGTGGGTGCCCCATCCCCGGAGATGCCCGAGGCCATGGATGGGCAGCCAGCACACGTCAGGGCTGGGGGATCTCTGAGCTCCTCTCCAACCTCAGCCATTCCGTGAGCCTACGATTTCGCTACATGCAGTACAGCAGTAGTTTCATTGTATTAACAGCGTCGTTTTCCAATCACCTTCAGCGATACGCTCACACGACAAAGAAACAAACCAAAGCAATCCAAGCTACGGGGAGGACAGACGGAGCGGGCAGCAGAGGAGACACGGACTGCCGAGCAGAGCAGCCGGGAGCTCAGCGGGACGGCACGGAACGGAACGGCACGGAGCTGCACGGCGCATCCTCGGCCCGACGCGGACAGGAGGCCGGGGCCGGCGGTCACTTACCCCAATTGCTGAAACCTTTTCCGAGCGCGAAGAGCCGACCCCACGGCTGGGGAATGAGCTCCTCCGGTTCCGGGTCCTCGGGAATGGAGGGCAGCTCCTGCGTGGGCACGGTGTCCAGCGAGCTGAGCGTGCCGGAGCTGGAGGAGGACTGGCTGGCGCCCTGCGAGGCGCTGGAGGAGGAGCTGGTGCCGCCCTGGGACGGCTGGGTGCCCTGGGACTGCCGGGCGTCGCTCCTCGTCTCTCGCGACATGGCGAGCGCCGCGAGCACCGCCGGCACAGCGCTTCCCCACGCGCGCACCGCAGCCCGGCCCGCCCGACCCGCCGGGCACAGCGCGCACGCGCGGAGCTACGAGAGCAGCCAATAGCGGCGCGGCGCCGCGCGGGGCCGCCGGGATCCGTAGTGCGGAGGACGCGGCGCGGGGATGCGGGCGGCGCTGCGGCTGCAGTTCGGCCGGACGCGGTGGGCGCTCCGCGTCTCGGAGGCGGCCCCCCGGCCGCGCTGCGTCGGGCCCGGCTCCGCCCCGTCCCCGCGGTGCTGGAGCTGCGGCGGCGCTCTCTCCGGCGTGGACGCGGTCCCCCACTTCTGCCCCCGCTGCCGGGCCCTGCAGCCGCCGGAGTCTCGGCCCGACCTCTTCCGCCTCATGGAGTGGTGAGTGCCGGCGGGGCGGACTCGGGCGGAGCGGGCCGCGCTCCTCACGCCGCCTTCTGTCGCCCGCAGTGACCGCTCCTTCCGTCTTGACGCGCAGCGGCTGCAGCGGCGGTTCCGGAGCCTTCAGCGCGCGCTGCACCCCGACCGCTTCGGCCGCAGACCGGCGGTGAGTGCGGAACCCGGGGAACGAGCGCTGTGTCGGCTCCAAGCTGGGGGACTGCGCCGCGCGGGGCTGCCGCAGAGATTCTTGGAGTCCTACAACCGCTTGAGTCGGAAACGGACCCCGAAGGCCGTCTGTTCCCACTGCCTGCAGTGCACAGGGACACCCACAGCTCCAGCAGTGCTCACAGCCCCGTGCCCTGAGCGTGGCTGTGTGCAGGGATGGGGCAGCACCAGCTCCCTGGGCACCCTGTGCAGTGCCTCACTGCCCTTGGTGTCAAAACTTCTTCCGTTTATGCAATTTAAATCTCCCCTCTTTGAGTTTGAAACCATTTCCCCTTGTCCCGTCACAACTGACCCTGCTAAAAAGCCTGTCCCTACAGCCCCCATAGATACTGATGGTGACACAGTGCTGCTGTGCTGCTTGTGACCTTAGGTAACAGCAAGCAATGTGTTTCAGTCACTGCTTATTGATGCATTTCTGTTACATCTCTTCCACCGGCAGCAGGAGCAGCGCTACTCGGAGCAGCACTCCTCCCTTGTGAACAAGGCCTACCAGACGCTGCTGCACCCCCTGAGCCGCGGCCTCTACCTGGTGAGTGCTGGGATGGGCAGATGCACACACCTGCCTTGGGGCTGCTGGCACCCACAGCCAGTCGGTTGCCCACTCAAAGGCTGTGATATTCACGTTTCCAAATTGCTGGTTTTTCCTCCAGCTGGAGCTGAGCGGGGTGGAGCCGGCCCAGGAGACGGACTCTGATGCAGATTCAGAGTTTCTCATGGAAATCATGGAAATCAATGAGAAACTAGCAGAGCCTAAGAATGATGAGGTCCTTGGAGAAATAGAAACTTTAATTAAAGGTGGGCTGAGCTCTGATGGTTTTGTACAGAATGAGTTTTACATCCTTGTACTTTGTACAATACAGAAGTCTTTCCAGAAGACTTTTCTGCTTTAGGTATCTTGGCATTGCTGTCACTAAATTCTGTTACTTTTGAATGGACTTGCTGCGTATTTTTTTCCCCACAAAATAAGAATGCTGTCTTTCCTAATTCATGTCATCTAAAAATCCAATCTAGCTTAAGAAAATCGATATAACAGTACCTATTCTGATGGCAAAGTAGGTCTGTGTATTGATCAGAAAAAGGATTACATTCCACCTCCAGCAGACCACAGCAAGGAAAATTGTTATCAGAGAGACACACAGTGTGCAATTACAGCTTCTTATTTCTGTCTACCCAAATATGTAGAGTTTACTTAATGTTGAGGAAGAATCCTGGGTGCAGTGTTGGAGATCAAAGCAACTTAAGCTGCTGGGAAGTGAGTGACCACTGTTTTGTGGGTACTGCTGTCTGTAAGGCCATCTCAATAAAGAACCACTTGTGGAATGGTAATGAAAAGAACTGACAGTGCTAACACAGTGAGCTCTCGTCTTCCAAAGGACCACACCACAGTCTGAATGCAGCTGTGTTATGGAACAAAATCGGAGTAAAATGATGTGTTTTACAGATAGACAAGAAGAACTGACCGAAGAGGTGACCGCAGCTTTTGAAAGAGGTAGTTGTTTTATTAAGTAATCAGCTGCCATAAACGTATCAGTTATAAATGGCAAAAACACATTCTGCTATTGAGAATAAATGGGCAGGAGCTCGAACCATTCCAGACAAGATTTTGATACGAGGGAGCAGTCCTTATATTTCTCTTCTAGGCCTCACAATTTCTTTACTGTTAGGCTTACATGGCATGCGTTGCAATCCTAAAACATCATATGGAAAGTACTAGCAGCTCGTGAAGCACGAGAACCTTATCGTTTGCTGTTCTTTGTACAGGGAGCATTGAGGACTGCATTGCATCTATCCTTCAGCAGCCATCCTTCCCCTCCCATTAATAGTTAATTAAGGAGCAGTTGTTTCAGTATAATTTCTGGAATTGCCCCTTTGCATACCACAGTGCTACCAACTGTATTTTTCAGTGATGGCAGTTGGTTTAAGAATATACATTCCCCCTACAAAAATGCTTTGTCTCCTCTATAGACCTAAAATTACCCGCTGTCTACATCACCACCACAGCCACCTCACAGAAGAGTTATTAAAGAGCATTTGTGCCCCATTTCCTTCCTCGGTTCTTGTTTTACAGAACACCTCCACTAGGGAGCTCCAAACTTCCCAACAGAAGCAGCAGCAGGCACCACGTGTTCCTCAGTGCATGGGCTCTCACAGCTTGCAGTTCTTGGTTCTGAAACAGCTGCTGGCGAGGGAATCTTGAGATTGATTTTGAAAATGAAAATTGTCCTCCTCCTGTTAAATAATCCTCTAATATTTATTTTTATTTCCTTGCAGATGACCTTCAGGAAGCTAAGAAGCTTCTAGCCAAAATGAAGTACTTTGCAAACTTAGAGGACAAACTAAAGAACAAGAAGATCCCTTCCTGATAGTGCCTCCTTTGCCATTAAGAATTAACGTAATGTTTAATTAAACTGCTGATTTAGTAACCAAACCCAGACAAATGGTGTTTGCCTCCTACGCCTCTGTTAGAAGCTTTACTTCTGAGAGAAAGAAGGCAAACAGAGAAAGCAGTGCTTGCTGCAGCACCCGGTCGCTTACAGCTGGGAGCAGGCCAAGCTTACAGCCAGGAGAAGCTGCACTGTGTGCCTAAGATTACTGTCCTCAGAGTTACAGGTGTGGAAGTCATCAGAGAGACACAAACTGCGTGCAATTATGGCTTCTTACCTTTGTCTACTAAAATATGTAGAGTTTGTTTCATGTTGAGGGAAAGTCCTGGGTGCAGTGTTGGAGGATCAAAGGGAAAGCTCGTTCAGCTCTGCTGTTCAGCTCTGCCTCATCCCCTGGGATGCATCCTACCCACCCACCTTGGAAAAAAAATCTTTAACAGTGAAATGATTTTGATTTTGTTTCCTTATCATCACCTGTCCTTTCTGCTCCTTTGTACTTTTGGGGACATTGATTTCAATGAAGGATGTTTCCTGGCCCAAAAATGAGCAGAAGTTTTAAAGCCCTGTGGGATAGTTTGAAGTATGAAGACATGAGGACGGGGAAAAAACAAAAAGCACAACTCAAAGACCAGGAACTGTTTTATTATTACTGTTTTAGGAAACAAAGCTTTCTAATAAACCTCATCATTACTTAAGATAATCTAATAAAGATAAATCACATCAGCATCACACTGCCTTGATTGCTTTGAGACAGACTGCACGTGTCTGCGCAGGAGAACCAGCAGGGATTTAATGTCCTTAAATCTTATTCTGAGATTATTTCAATTAAAAAGCAGCAGCTACAGACCTCACGTTAATGCACTGAGTGGAATATTTCAAACAGCAGCTCTGCAGTGGGTCAGCTCACGTTTGGGTTGAACACCTCAGACCCCAAGCTACAAATTCTTCAGTAAAGCACTAACAGGTGCTTGGATCTGAAAAAGGAGCTCAGAACTACAAGAGCTCCTGCAGTTTGGTGCCATCCACAGGCAGGGGCTGGAGGCAGCGAGGAGTGGAATTCATTCAGCAGCCACTGCCACCATTTCTGCATTCTTACATCAAGTTTTATCTAAACACTGAGTCTTCTGTGTAATGCATTCTAACAGCAGTTCAGCAGTATCTTTTAACAGCATTTTAGGAAGATTGCCTTTACTTAAACTTCCTCTCAGTATGCAGGAGGAAGTAATGAACTACTTGTTCATAGTGTTACAGCGCTCATTTAGAGGACATTTGTAATTCTCATTAAGGTCATTCAGTTACAGCTTTGAAAATACTTTGTTAATATTCATCATGGAGTTGGCTTCTTTCATTAAGTTCTGTTTCCTTTTCTTTGCTTTTTCCTCCAAAATTAAGTTTGTGAAATTCCTTTTTGATCTCCAGAAAAGATTTGTTTTTTGTCTCAGGAATTACCAGGAAGATGAAAGCAGCAACAAAGGAGCACTCCAGTAAGAACACCACAAAACAGAACTGCTTCAGTCCTTTCTGAAAATAAATGGCATTTATGATTGCAGCAAAGCAAAGCACAACAGTGGGTTTTGGAAAACAAAGAGCCTGTTTTGTTTTTCATGGTAACCTGACTGCCTGACAGGGGGCTCCCAGAGAACACAGACCCAGCAGCCCTGAGTGCAACTTCTGCCTCTGCTTTGACACAAAAGCATACAGGATTATTAACAAACCTTTCATCTTACTGAAGTGCTGAGATCCAGCTTTTCTAGTTTTGATACCTTCTGTTTTTCCTTTTGAATCTGAACCCCCTCACGCATTCCTTTCACTTTTTACTTAAAAATTTTAGGTGACAAACAGTAACAGAACGGTTTATTTTTATTTTTTATTCTATTATTTATTTTTATTATTTATATTTATTAGTTACATTAGCTGAGGGTTTGTGTGCACCCAATGCTGATGTCTCACTTTATTAACAGAAGGCAGTTTGATGGAACGTTAGAGCAGAGTTAAGTGGAAGGTGAAGCAATCTGGAAAAATAAAATACGCCAACTTACCACTATGAAAGGAAAAAGCATTCCAATGGTGAAGAAACTAATCCAGCTAACAGTCCCTCCAATCATGCAGGCAGCAGGACGTGAAGACTGCACAAAGATTTCAGCAGTCAGCGTGTTGGTTATGCCACCTGGGGAGTGTGAGAGACAGCAGGTGATTGTGGCACGTGGCTGTTTACAAAGTGCTCCTAATGGCACCAAGAGCTGCCATTTTTAATGGCACTTAATGGCACTTTAATGGCAGTCCCTGCTTGCACAGTGAGCTTCTAAAGGGGGCCTGTTTCAGTAGGACAGCTCAGGCACCAAAGGTCCCTTTAAAAGTGTAACAGGTTTTTTCTTGCTTCTTGCCTGAATGGAAGGCCAGAACCAAGAGCCCCACCTGACACACAGCTGACCCTGACAAGAACTCAGCCCGAGCCTCAGTTTCAGCTTGTGTGATGCTATTCATTCTGATGAACTGTCAGACTTGCATTCCTTAATGAGAGCCCTGGCAGCCTTAAGTAAATACACTGCTTACACAGCAGTTGCTCACGTTTCTCCTTACACCCTCCAACACACAGCTGAGCATTTTAAAACATGCTTTACTGAGCTGTACCTGGTCCCAGCCCAAAGCTCAGAATGAAGGCAAATATCGACATCATGCTCACGTAAGGCACCCAGGGGTACAGCTCCTGGAACAGAAGAGAATGAAAAGCTTCAGTTTGTATTTCAATAATCTAGCTCTAGCTTAAGTTACACATTCCTCAGTTCTTTTATTTCAAGACCAGCAGTCATTCACTGATGCTTTTAACAGGACCTGCTTCAGAGAAAGTCAATATTGCTAACCTCAGATTTTACCAGATGGCTTCTAATACTTCTGTCAAGATTTATCATCAGTTCTCTGAGGTGAAAACAGCATCAGCATGGAAAATAATTACTACTAGTTCAACATTTTGTCAGTGCTTATTTTGGCATTTCAGAATGATCCTATGAGTTACCTAATTACCTTTGAGCACTCAAAGTAAACAGATTTTCCTCACTGCATTGTTTATATGTACATAAAGTTCAACAGTGCAGTAAAGAAGCACTAGGATTGCTAGAGATGCATGCATGCAAAACTAAGGATGGTACAAACATTATTACTGCACAGTTTTGTCAGTATTAAACACAGCTTTAAAACAAATACAGGACCAAATCTTCTGAGAGCTCTCTTACAGAAACAGCTCCAGAATCAAATCTTTCAACTGCTGCCGTTTTTTACAGTGCCATTCAACACAGCCCAGCTCCCACCTTCCAGCTTTGAGTATCACAGATTCACTCTCACTGTTAGTTACATCACATAACAAAAATGAGTCCTACTGTGCACCTGGTAAGTCAGAGAGAACGTTAAAACAATGCTCCAGAGGGTCATAAGGAGGTATCCCCCAAGGATGAGGTATCTTCTCCCCACGCGGTCTATCAGTAAACCCTATGGACAAGACAATGTTTTGTTACCATACTGCGCTCGTATTCACCAACATCAGACTGTTACAGTCTTACTGAAGGCAGAAGGAATTGTTGCATACACAGGTGAGTGCTGTGAGGCATTCACAAGCGCCAGTGCCAAGAGTCACATAGGGGATTTTTTCAGCCGAGATCCCAGCTTGCTCGAAAACATAGGTTGCATAGAAATAAATCTACAAAGGGGGGAAAAAAAAGCAGAATTAAGCATTTGTAGTAGGTAAACTGTCAGCTGGAGACAAGATTATGTTCATATTAATCATACATCTGAATCTATTTTATATTGTGACTTACAGCATTTATCCCACTGAGCTGCTGGCCCATGGTCATCACAACCACAGTAATGAGCTGCCATCGCACAGCACGATCAGTGAAGAGCTGCCAGGGCTTCTTGGGTTTCTCCCCATCTAAGGCAAAGCATTCCCGCTGTATGTCTTCCATCTCCCTCTGATACTGTGAAGAACCATGAAATCTCTTCAAAGCTAAAAACAAAGCACCACAACACTCAGTTTGACCTATTCCACAGCTTCTGGAAACTCATCTCTTCTCACAAGGACCCAACCTTTGCTAAAATACAAAAGTTTTCTACTCTAAGCTAAGAAAAACAGCTATTTGCTTTGTGACTTATTTTTTGCTTGCTGATTGTGATGCTGTAATGAGATGATAATAGCAGGGTGGCAAAGCCTTTGGCTGCAGCAAATTGAATGAGCCCAAACGCAGCAGCCATAGATACAGAAATAAAAGAAAAGAGCTGCTTACCTTTGGAAGGCCTCAGGGAGGCAGGAATCTCCATTAAGAGATGCCCTCATCTTCACTGCCAACCCTGAAATGAAGGCTGGCAAGGGGTGGATCCTGGCTTCAGCCCTTCTGGTCACTCAGGTTACACCTGAGCTCCCCTGGGCTGGCCCTGCCTTCCTACCAGGTGCTCAATCACTGCTTCAGGCCATGACAGCATTTCTACTACACTGGTTTTCTAGAAGGAAGGGTACCCTCTTTACTCGTGTTTTGCTGTGGTAGATTAGGAGATTTGAGGCATTCCTTTTATTTACGTTAAATATCTGACCTTGAAACATTCCCAAGGCAAACTGCTTGGAATTGTTCTACATCTGGGCCACAAACTGCCAAACTCTTTTCACTGGAGGACATTCAAAGCAGTCTACCATCTTCTGCTTAAATTCCAGACAAACCACATCTTTTGTTACACCCACGTCTTTAATTTTGCCAGTGGGATGAATTTAGTGGACTGCAGGGAAGAAGATAACTTTCTTGATTCTTGTAAAGCAAAATACTACCTGAATGGTAGTATTGAATGGTAGAATGGTAGTATTCCATTCCATCTGGATGGAAGACCAAAGGCTGTGTAATGTTGTGCTGATAAAGAGAAAAGTGAAATCTGGAACCCAATGTGCTCATCACAACCTTCTGAAGATGCAGAGAAAGAACCACTGTGAGTTACCTTTGGCACAGCTCAGCTCATCACCTCTATCAATAAGGAGATATCTGGGACTTTCAGGAAACCATGGCAGGAACAAAAGCTGGGCAAATGCTGGAACACAGCTGCTGGATAGCAAAAGTGGCCAATAGGCTTCTGCACCTAGTATTTCTCTGAGAGACGTGGGGAGAAAGCAAGATGTTTGACCTTCATTAATTGCTTCTTGTAACCTGTTCCTACATACTGTGAACCTCAACAGAAAGAGGCTTGCAAAGCATTTTCCACCCACTTTGAAAACAGGCTTCAGTCAGGAAGAAACAAGCAATGCTGCTTTCCTGCTGCTTATTGCTGTGCTGACTCCAATAATTAGCTTCAGAGTTGCTGTGGCAGTGTTTTCTAGCAATACAGGAATGTAAAAGCATCAGAACTTCACCTCAAGCTTAGCACTGAAGCTCCCAATGCTTTTGAGAACGATACAATAATTCGCCTTTGAAAGGAAAGCAGAAGGTCGCCTGATCCCATTCAGAGCTGATCTAATGAGGTGTATTTACATAGAAATTAATTGTTAAAATTGGTACAAGTTGGAATCAACAGGAGAAGGAATGGTGGGCAACAGAAACTTATCCAATAGAAAGCATTTTGCATTTTAAGTACTGACCTCAGATTAGCCAGCCTAAGTTTGTATTTGAATTTATTTTGTAGCACTTCACAGCTACAACAATCAGCAAAATCAGTTAATTCAGAAGGTGGAATAAGGAAAAAGAAACTTTTAAGGGCCTTGGATAGTGGGACAGAGAGAAGAGGAAAGAAAAGATGAAGCAGATAACGTGCTGTGACACATTAGGGCAGGAGGAAGCTTGTGGCAGACTTCATGAAAGAAGCTTTTCATCTACGGTTTTTTGGAAACCAACTGTACAAAGTCCCCAGCAACCTCATCTGTTCTCACAAAGGATAAAAACAGCAGCAGTGCTGTTATAAAGAAATTCAGAGGCCCTCCCTCAAGCCCTGTCATATGTGTTTAGTTGTAACCCACTATCCCCAGCAAAAACATGAACTGTGCCCATTTACTGGTGCCATTCTCTTCGACATATCTAAACTGAGAATAATTCCCTTGGGACATGGATAGTAGACAGTTGGGAGTTTTAAGAACAAAATAGCAAAAGCAGCTTTCCCAGGTTTTTATGTTACACCTTCTGTATAAGTTGCTCAGTAGTGCTACAGTGAGGATCCTTCAGGAAGCTGCAAGGAATTGCAGTTCCTTACACACAAGTAACGGGAGGTAGAAAAGTACACGTATTTCTAACCTCAAACCAATTATTTGTCCTGACAGAATGCCCCCAGTCAGAAAGATGGAGCTACCCATGGCCATGCCTCCTCGGAGATGTTTTGGGGCAACCTCCCCAAGGTACAAGGGTTGCACACAGAGCCCAACGCCTGCAAAGCAGAAACATTTCTCTATGAACAGACTGTACCTTCGCAGTTTTTCGCACATCATACGATATTCAGCACTTAACCCTGTGCTCAAGAACATTGTTCCTTCACCAGACTCTGGTTATTGAACAATGATGTCAGTAGTGAAATATTATCTTATTCTGGCTAATTACAACCACACAAAGATATGGGTCTTCGTGCCTTTACAAACAGGTGTAATACTATAATGAGATGGAGAGTACCATGATAATAGCAGGGTGGCAAATCTTTGGCTGCAGCAAACAAAAACTAGCCCAAATACAACAGCCACAGATACTGCAACGAAGGAAAAGAGCTACTCGCCTTCAGAAAGCCTCAGATAAGCAGGGATCTCCAGCAAGAAAAGCCTTCACCTCCACTGCCAACCCTTAAATGAGGGCTGGGAAGGGCTGCATCCTGGCTACCCCCCTTCTGGTTATTCAGGTACATTGCATGCACCTGAGCTCTCCTGGGTTGGCGCTGCCTTCCCACCAGGTGCTCCATCACTGCTTCAGGCTGCGACTCAACATTTCCACTACAAGTCACACTATGGTAGGACAGCATTACAGGACTTGAATCTTTTCAGGTTCCAAGTTTTGCTTTGAAATATAATACTTAACCAAAACACGTAGGAAATGGGACTTGTTCTGCGAATTTACCTCCCTTCAGAGTCCAAATTAAACTACAGAATGTCTTTCAGATCAAACCTACAAAGCAGCACACAAAGACATAATGTAATATCTAGAGACTCACCGGTAATGTTAAGTCATCAGACACCACAGCTTATTGAAAGCAGGGATAGGAGATCTCTTACCTGAATTTATACCGATCAAAAACCTTCCAACAATCAGCAACTCAAACAATCCTGTTGGAAAACTGATCCCCATTAAAATGGCAGCCAGTATGGCTATAATGTTATTCATCAGAAGGGCTCCTTTCCTGAAGGGGAAAAAAAAGTTTTATTTTTTGGTAATATGGACAAATGGGCTTTGGAAGAGACATGCTGCTCACTGGAAATCTGTTCACTCACATCTGAAAACAGCCATGGCAAGGCAGGAACATGGCTTTGTTCATTCACACTGTGTTTATATGGAATGTTAATGAAATATTTCACATCACACAGCACGTCCTTACCATTAATACAGGGCACAGACGCACACTTGTGGGAGATGTGTTTTCACACAGTATTTCCATACTCTTGGAAGAACTCCTAGGAAGAAAGTCGGAAAAGAAGACGTGTTCTGTCTGTGCCTGTCCCTGTAACTCACCTGCCCAGCTGAATGGCCATGCTGCCTCCAATCAGGGCTCCACACAGGCCACCAAGTGAAAAGATAGAAGCAATGACAGACCAAAGAAAAGTCAGCAGGTTGGGATTGAGTTCCACGTGATAACGACTGGCCCAGGTTTCATTTAAGAACTTGTGTATGTGCTGCAGTAGAGAAAGAATGGTGTAAGTACAGCATTCCATCTAGCCCTACAGCGTGCTATTAGGAGTCAGACCTAAATCCTGAAAGCAGGATGTTCTCTGACACAGCAGATAGATGCAGTAACAAATGCAACATTCCTGGCTCAAACGAAGATGTTACTTGTTTAGTTCTGTTAATTATTCTAAAGCAATTACACAGGATAGCTGAATTACCACAAAGCAGAATACTTACCTGAGTGGGGGCATTGATAATGGAAACATTATATCCATACTGAAAGGTCCCTCCAATTCCCACCGAGCAAACAGCCAGAAACAAGGTCCAGCTGGGAAACTAGGGAACAAGAGAGTGAGGTATGAACACTGGCAGGCCCTCAAACTCACATGTGCTTAACACCTAGGAGAAGAATCAGGGAGGTAATCATGGACTTTTTGGACTGTGAAAGTATTTGGTTAGAAAATGATACAAGCTCTCCAATATCTGTAGTGGGAGAAACATTTCACACTGATGTTGGTCACAGTTGTAGTATTTTCAAGGGACACAAATGTGACAAACTTCCAGGTTAACCTTAGGATACACAACTGATGACATCTACTGAACTGTGGGAATCTGTTCTGCACCAACCATGCTGTTCATGGTGTCAATTTTTATACAGAATTTTAGGACCTAACATGAACAAAATCAGAGCAACATTTCCATTAGATGCCCTGTGATTCCCTGTGGATAGAAAGTATTTATCTGAATGACAGCCAAGGCAATGAATTAAGAGTAAGCAATAAGGGTTGTAGCGAAGTGGTAGGAAAACAAAACCAACACATGCCAAATACAGGCATTGCCCACTCAAATCTTTCCATTAACCAAGTACCATCCACACACCCTGTGTGCCTCATGGGCTGCATGCCCTGTAACCACCTTCATTTTGCTTCCATAAGGTAAGCCCATGGCAGCAGGCTCCCAACAGATGGTGCCATGTGCCCTCTACCTCAGTTAAGAGGTGCTGATTTTTGGGCCAGCCCTTGCAGAACAGTTTGGAATGAGTAAAATAAGACCAAGAACCCCAGCATCAGAAATACATGAATGGGAACTGGTTTCCTCTAGCAGCCCGTGATTAAATTCCATTTAAGTACAAACAAAACAGAGAAAAAGCAACGCTGATTACATCTCACAATTCACTTCTTGCTGAGAAATGTAATCTCTCCATTCCCATTTTATCTTCTTCCAGCAATAATATGAAGTTTCATGCATAACTTCAATCTAAAATACTCCAAAGTCAAAATAATCCTGGCAATGATTTTCTATGCCTGCTAAAGACATGGTTTTAATCTGCATAACAGAACTACAGCCATGGAAGCCCGCTTAGAGGGAACAAACAAGAAACAGCATAATCTTGAGCAAGAACTACAAAAATGCAGCAGCAGCAACACAGCCATTAGAGCAGCACAGAGATTTGGTTCCCTAATGACCCACTTCTCTGAACAAGGCCTTCGTTCACCCCCACCTCATGCTCCTTATCTGCCAGGCAGCTGGGTAAGAATTCTTGTGATGAACTCCAAGCTCCATTCAGAGCAACCGCGAAAAATCACTATTTTACATTTATCAGAGTGCACCCCCAATAAATTACTCAATTTTGAAGGTTATCGTTACATTTTGATTGAAGTTGGAAATAGCATAGGAAGATTTATTTAATATTAAGGGTTTGCTGTGCCTAATTGTGCATATATTCATATGCCCCATACGTGCTACATACATATTAAGGCTGTTACACGTAGATGCGCATCTCTGCAGCCACATCCCCCCACCACTGTACCAGACACAGAAAGCTCCAGGACTAACAATGTACCCCATTACCAACACAAAGCCCCAGCAAGGCACCTAGGCCACGAATGGTTACAGGACACACCTTTACAACACCTTATGCTCCCTGTTTGGTTACACGAGGTGTACCAGGCAGATTTACTGACTGTATACAACACGAGAGGTCAGCAAGCCCTGCGTGTAACATCTGCTATGATGAGCTGCAGGCTCATTCCTTCCTCCTATGCCCCTCTTGCTCTTTTGAGCCTCTGGTTCCAAAGTGAGAGCTAAAGTGAGAAGACGCTGCAGGGGGTCAGGAAAGGAGCCCAAGATCACTGACCCAAGCCATATACTTTGTTTTGCTATGACACCTCCACTTTTCCTCCTGCCCAGTCAGCCTGCTCATTCCCCTCATATGCTGTGTCACATGTGTTGCAGTTTGGGCCTGGATTTCTTATCCCACAGACAACAGCCTTGTGTGTTTCACGAGTTATTGAACTCGTGATGGTTTATGAGCATTCCAAGAAATTAACCATGAAAAAGCAGGGAGTTACACAACCGTGCAGCACTGCTAGAGCCACAGACTTTTCACAGGACCCATCTGTGAGGCCACAGAGCTCCGCTTACCTTACTGGGCGCGCTCAGCAGGGGCCGGGACTCCATTCACAGCATGGGCTGAATTAGATTTCCTTTGCAAAAATTAGTAAACTACACTATAGGGATAAAAGGTGCCAAAGAAATTGAGTTATTTTTGTAGGAAAACACAGATGTTTGCACTCCACCTCCAGCCTGGGGGATCCTTCTCAACCCTTCTTAAGATGGAAATCGGAGCGGCTGAGGATGGAGGGGAGCTTGGAGATCCCCCAGCCCTGCCGTGTGCTGCCTGCCCACAGCTCAGGCTGCCCAGGGCCCATCCGTGGCCTCAGGCACCTCCAGGGATGGGGCACCGCAGCTCCGGGCAGCACTGCCCTAAAGTCCAACACTCAAAAAGCCTCACAACAGCTGACAACAAAAGCTCGCAGCACGACAGCAACAGCTCCCAGAAACACGTTTAACAGCAGCGCGCCCATACCACAGCACAAAACACCCTTCGGCCACCCGCCAGCGTCCGACCTCGCCTCCCAACGAGCCCCGCACGCCGTTACCTGGCGCTCCGCAGCCATGCCCGCCCGCAGCGCCGCTCAGCTCCCACCTGACCGGCTGCGATCCGCCCGGCGGGGGATCGGCGGCACCGGGCGCACCGCGGCTCTGCCCCGCCGCTCCGTGACCGGGCAGGGCCGGGCGCTCTGCCCCGCGGCCGCGACGGCACCGCACGGCCACGACCGCAGCCCGAGCCCCGAGCCGCGGCACCGGCCGCCCCAGCACTACATCTCCCGTCGCGCCCCGCGGCGGCCGCAGAACTACAGGTCCCGGCGTGCCCCGCCGGCCCCCTCCGAGCGGGGCGAAAGGCCTGGAAGCGAGCTGGGCTGTGGCGGCGCCGTCCGAGTTCGGGCGCGGCCCGGCGGCGAGCGTTCCGGCGGCGACGAACGGCCCGGCCGCCGCGCGGGGAGAACGCGGGTCCTGCGGTGCCGCGGGTCGGGCCGGGTGCCGTCGGGGCAGAGGGAGGCGGCGGGGCCTCCCGAGGGAGCTTGGAGCCGACGGCCCGGCAGGAGCGATGGCAGCGCTGGGCAGGTCCTGTCAGGGCGTCCCCGCGGGTCCCGCGCTGGAGTTCCCGCAGGCCGCCGCCCCCGACCGCCTCGTCCCGCCCGGTGACGCCGCGGGCTGCGTGCAGATGGTGGGGAACGGCGGCGACGGCCGCGGCTCCTCCGGCGTGTGTCCGCCCGGCGGCTTCGACATCGCCTCGTTGGCCGCGCTCGGGAGTTACAACGAAGGCGTGGCCGTGCCGCCCGTGGGATCCTTCACGCACCCGCAGCAGAGCCACAGCCGGTGAGTGCGGAGCGGCCGGGAGCCCTGCGGATCCGCCGTAGTTCCCGGAGCGGTCGTGGTTTGTTTTGTTCCAGTATTGTGGTATCCGCACGTTAGGATCGCGTTGTTTGCTTCGCTGCCTTGAAGTCTGTCGCTGAGGGGTGAAGAAGGCTTCAAAAACGAGAGGAACGTGAGCGAATTTACGGAGACCTTGGTCACAGGCTCGAGGAATGGCTGAGGTTGGAGTGGAGCTCAGAGATCCCCCAGCCCTGCCGTGTGCTGGCTGCCCCCAGCTCAGGCTGCCCATCCACGGCCTGGGGCACCACAGCTCTGGGCAGCACTGCCAGGGCCTCACTGCCCCCTGAGCAAAGAATTGCTTCCTCACATCCAACCTCAATCTCCCCTCTTTAATTTTAAAGCCACTCCCCCCTGTCCTTTCACTATTAGACCATGCAAAAGTCACTCCTCTCTTGCCTGTAAGCACCCTGCAAGTACTGGAAGGCTGCAGTGAGGTCTCTCCGGAGCCTTCTCTTCTCCTGGCTGCTCTCAGTGGTTTCTCCCAGCCTGTACATGTATCTGGGATTGCCCCAACCCAACTGCAACACATTGCTCTTGGTTTTATTAAACATCAGTAGCTTCTCACATGCCCAATTTTTGAGCCTTCTAAGATAAGCTCTTAAAGTCTGATGCCTTTTAAAGGTCAGATTGCTTTTTGAAATATTTGAACACAACATTTTTACGTAAAGACACAATTCTGTCAAATTTTGCTGTTTGGTTACATTTCATTTGAGCATGTTGCCGTGAGATAACGTATGAAGAGGCCGAAGTTAGATCACACGCTGCTCCCTTTATCTTTTGCATGGTAGCACAGCTGGATTTGCCCCAGGTGAAAAAAATAACTAACATAAAGGAGAAGAAATGATCGGGCATTCTGTGCGGGGAGCTCAGCAATTACAGCCTTCCATGACTTTCTTTGGAACAGAATGGGCCTTTGAATCAGAAATTTCTGCTCCCTTACAGCTGGTGATGCACAGCAACTGTTGCTCTTAGCATTGTTCAGGCTGTGAGTGAAGTTTGAAAATCAGTGTCGCAGGAACATATTACATGTGCCAGCCAGTAACTGCTTCTCTCTGTTTTGCAGTGTCTCTGTTCGCTGTGGAAAGAAGCATAAGCTAGAAGAAGAGTCAGAAGGGTAAATTGAATTTGTGTTTTATATCCTGAAAAAAATTAATTTCAATAAGTATTTGAGCACATCTTATCTACAAAATACATAGGAATGGAACTGCTTCCATCGTTTCAGTGCGGAACTTCCACTGAATTGCACATGAGCCCAAACCCATTGCAGTTTCCTCATTAATTGTGTAGTACTGATTTTCTTGCGTGGGTACCCATGTTTTGATAAGAGCAATGTTGATGTATTCTTTTGTAGAGGTTTCCTTTTTGCAGTTTGTCAAGCTGGGTGAAACGTACATGGCTTTCTCTAATGCACTGTCCTGTAGAAAGCCACGTTTCTCTTTTGTAAAGGTCAATTGTAAACTTGTTTTGTTTCCTAGTTGTCCCGTGAAGAAGAAGAGACTGACAGGAGCCAAAAACTGCCCTCAGAATCCCAGCACTGAAGAGTGGATTCTCTGTGCAGGTCAGCAGGCAGCTGGGGAGGTAGCAACAAGTCAGTATGGTGGTAGCCATCCTGAAACTGCCATGTTAGAAATTCCCTGTGAAGAAATGGAGCAGACAATGGGGGAGCAGCAGTGCGAGGTTGCTCGCAGGAAGCTTCAGGAAATTGAGGACAGGTAAATGCAGGGATTGACTGGGTTGGCTTTACTAAGCTTTACCTTTTTTTGGTGGATATTAAGGGGTAAAACTAGCATTTACAGTAGTGTTACCTGGCTGCTGAGTCTGGGATGAACCTTTGGTGTGAGTGGTCTCTTTGTGAGCTGCCTGTGGTTTTCTGAGTGTTGTGGTTGATAATGTGATCTGAACTTGATGCAAGAAGAAGAGATGCTGAATAAGTAACAATCTCCTCAAAATCATCAACAGCATCAATATGCTGTGCTGGGTCTTAAGCATTTTTGTGTGTGTATCCAGAGCTCACATTTTTAATTTACATTGTCTATTCAGAATTGAGCTCAGCTTGCTGGGTTTTTTTCCTCCTCAACAAATCACAGCTTGTTCTATGATTAATACTAAAAATGCTTGGGTTAGGTATGAATTTGTAAGTGTACAGAATAGCATGAATCAGAGATCTTTCCTCATATGTAAGACTGAAGTCCATCTTGCTAACTATCAGGTGGTTTGGGATTGGGAAATGGGGTGGCTCTTATCAGTCCTCTACAGTCATGTAATAAATGTACTGTGCATTCTTGCCTTCCAAAGACTTTTGGGAATGTCATGTGTATGTATCAGTTGACAGCAGCTGAGCTGGTATTCCAAAATACTCCAGAATGTCTGCTGCAGACAGCTAGAGAAGCAAAGAAGTTATATAAATTTAAAAAGCAATTTTTTTTTAGATGAGTACTTAACATATGATGAATGAAAGGATGCGTTTTTCATGGGTAAATAAGAGCAGTCATTTTTCTTCTCTTGGCTACACCTGCATTACAAAGTATGTTTATGCCTCTCAGAGGGTAATTTCCCACCTTTCCCAGCTACTCTACTAAATTTTCTTTAAAACTTTTACCAAAAATAGAGGAGATGCCTCCAGTTTGATCTGGATTCCTCAACTTTTTGTACTGTTTTAATCTCAGATTGATGCAAAGTCTTTCAAGATTAAGAAATATGTTCAGTAGCTCTTGATTAATTCTCAGAATTAACAGATGGAGAACTGAGCAGGCAAAGTTACTGGGACTCACTTGCAGTAGGACTGAATTGTATGCTTTCCCCACAAGTGAATGTGGTTTATGTGTTCTTAGTGTCACTGTGCACTGCTGGACGATGCAAAGATAACAAAGCTAGCTCAGGTACCAGAAGCTGCTCGAGTGGCTTCTATGGTTGCAGTCGTTCTTAGGGTATGTTGGCCCAAGAGAGACTTGTGTGAACACGGCCCCGCTGCTTCTGGTACCCCAGCCTAGGCCAGATATCTGCACTGTGCAGTGCAGTGCACATGGATACAACTGTAGTCTGCAGTGGATGTGCCTGTTGAAAGTATGCTCAATAGTGTTTATTTCCCTCTTCCCCCTCCATTCCTAGGATAATTGATGAAGATGAGGAAGTTCATGCTGATGGAAATGTTAGCAATCTGCCCACTCTTATCCTGTCAGATACCCTTAAGAAAGGGATGAAGAGGGATTTTGGTGAAGTCCTGACAAAGAAAATAATAGAGTCTATGTAAGTTCTGGAGGAAATCACGGTGCTATGTAGCTAACACGTGCAAATGAAATGAGAGACACAGTCTTGTGTTTGTGGAGATGTCCTGAATTAGTGCATGATGCAGCCAGCATTGTGTAACAGAGCACAGAACATTGTGTTCACCTGGCCAAAAGCAGGAAAAACTGTCCTTGTGTAAAGCAGAATTAAGTGTAACTGCAGCAGTCATGAAGCTGTCTGTTTTGTAGCCCTGATTTGTACAGAGTGAAATACTTTGAATAAACGGTTATGTCCTCATTGTTACGTATGTGGGTTCCCCAGAGAAGGTCCTCAAGTGTGACCAACAGTGCTCATCGAGTTTGGTGGAAAACACAGGGTTAGAACTAAAGTAATGGAAGTAGTCAAGGAAAAGACAATTGGATAGGCAAAAAGCTGGAATGTGCATCCTGGAATACAGTTCCAGGCTAGCACAGTGCATGAAGATATTCACTGTCTTCTGCATTTAGCAGTTGTGATTGCAGAACTGTAATTTAACTGACACTCCATCCCTTCTAGGAGCCGTCCTTCTATGGAGCTGGTGCTTTGGAAACCACTTCCTGAATTTCTCACAGATAAACTGAAGCCTGTTTCTGTTAAGAACTTCAGGCAGCAGGGTACTGAAGGGTGTCAAGCTAAGCAGTCAACACCAAGAGCTGCTTTTGACCCACAGACTGAAACATTCCCTGAATCACAACAGACTGCCATGTCTCCAGATCCATATGCCAGTTTGGGAACCTCTGGATGTGCGGAAGAAGAAATGGAGCTGTAGATGCCAAATTGTAGACTGAAAGTGGTGACCTTGTGATGGTTTTTTTTGTTGCTGTTGTTGTTATTTTGATACCTTCTTTTCTTCTGGTTTGTGTGAATCTGAAGTTTGGTTACGTTTTTTTGTTTTCCTAGTAGCAATTGTAAGAACATGGATTGGCCAGACACAACTTTGGGCAACGTTCTAAAAAGATAATTCTGGTCTGTTCAATATTCTCATTTTTACTGAGAAGGCAACCCAGAGGCCTTTGCAACAAGGAAGCAGCTTTCCATCTTTGTTAATGTTGAAATTTCCTCCTAATGTCCTTGGAAAGGTTTAAAATCCAATTGACTGAATGTTACGGTGGCTTACGCCACGCTTGTCACTTACTGAGCCATTCAGACCGGTGCAAACGCTATGCTTGGTCAGTTACTTTTATTCACATTAGAGAAAGGTATTGAAAGGAAGACAAACTCCTGAGCAGTCAGAGACAGGAAAGTCACCCCAAAGTAGAAATACAGCTCTTCACACAATTGCTGTTTCATCTGCAGCTTGCACTTGATGTTAACTCCAATTGAAATGATACGTTGTGCAGCTTGGTAAGGAAGGAATGTTATGGCCGAGCAGAACCGTCCTGCTTTGTGGAAAGTAAAACTGGCTACTAATCTGGAAGGTATCTAACTACAGTCCTCTTTGGTTTATGGTCTCATAAATGTGGGGTTTTTAATGCCCCTCCTCTCCAGATGGCACAAAGTCTAGAGAGAAGTGGTTCCCAAGCCAACTGATGTGAGTCTTTATAAGCACTGAGCCAGGAGGTCGTTTCAAGGCAGCGTAACTTGATTAAATAAGAAATGTCCTTTATAGGTGGTATGGATCAGATAGAGGGAGCTGATTTTCTGAGGTAAAGGATGCCAAGGTAAATAAGTCCCAGACTTTGGATTGCTGACAGTGATGGTGAAGAAGATGCTTCTTGTTTGCATGAGGAAACCCGGATTTATGGGCTGAGCTAGAACATGCCATTAACATGATGCCACATAGTTCATACAGATACATGCCAAAAGAATTTTGTATCCTGCTTAGGGTGTTAAGGAATCCTCAGTGCACTATGGCTCACAGCTTTTCTCCATGCACACTACTTCTATTACACTCAAACAAGGTACAGAACATCATCTTCTAGTCTCGAGTCCTCAGCCTTTTCCAGAGAAACCAAAATTGAGGCTTTTCTTGAGAAAAATTCCTTTCCAAGTAATTGATTCTGTCTCTACATCCCAGTCTGTATTTGACATCCTGCTAGCATGAAGGAGCAAGTACACTGACCTCAGTAATGCAGCTGTCTGCATAAGAGAAATTATTAATCCTGTGCACAGCTAATTGATAATCCTTGTGGGTTTTTTAAATGTTTAAATAAGTCAGTTGAATGATTTTAAACTTCTGTTTTTGCAGTCATTCTTTTTTGGCTCAGAACAGCAGCCTTCTTGGAAAGTTATCCCTGTTAGTTAAATCCTATGTATATCTTGCTCTTCTTGTTGAAGGTTTTCTGACATTTGCTGTCTCTGGCTAAAATATTTCAGAGCTTCACTAAAAACATTCCAACGTTTGAATAGGTATTATGCTGAAAACTGCTATCTAAGTTACATTCTGGGACTTTGGAGAGCGTGTGCAGCTTTTTCTTGCTCTTATATCTATTTCAGAGTTACAAATCTCTTGCATGTAATGTGTAAAATTTCTTATGTATTATTATACTGTTGAACTTGCTGAAAATGTACAGCCTTTGACCTGCTGCTACATGGCTTGAGTATAAAGTAATGCAGCTTGGGGCAGGCTGTAGTCATTGCGGGTAGCAAACGTGGTGCCTCTAAATATCTATTTTTTTGAGGTTGCAGGGTTGTATGAAAGCTCAAGATTGGGACTGACTTGCTGATAGCTCTGATGCTAAATAAATGGAAAAGGAAGGATAACAATTCCAAAAACGTGATGAAAACATCAAATTTTGGCATAGGGTACAAAAAAACTGAGAAGCCAAACTGTGAGATCCAGACAGCTTCCTCCCTACTCAAAATACTGAATGGGCAAATGGTCCATCAAATTAACAAGCATTGACCTCTGTTATTCTGCCACTGAAAGAATCTACTGGCAGACTATTGACAAAGACATGAGATGGGAAAGAACTGCATCCAGTGCATTTGCTTTAGATTTATGTTAGAATTTGTCTAAGTTATTTATGCTGTTACTAGGAGAGAAGAGGGCTGAAGTGCTGGTGGGGGAGGTAAAGAGCAGGGGTAGAAGTAGGAACCAGTTATTTAGGACTGAACAAAATCATTGCTCTAGTAACCTCTAGTAACCGGTGAGGACAAACTACCAGGGACTTTCACACTTCTGTATTTATAAGAGTTTGATTTGTTGTTGCCTTCCTTCAGAGCCTTTATTAACTCTGTTTGTGAGGAAGATAGAAACATGATGCAGTATTAGGAAAAAGTGGAAAAAGTTTTATTTTGAAATATGGAAGATCTGATTTTGGTCTGTCTGCTCCTGGGGCCAAATCACCATTTGTATGTGAGTTTTTCAATAAATTTTCTAAAGTATTTTTAGATGGTGCAATTAATCCTTAGTAGTATGAACAACATCAAAGCAGTATGGTAAGCAGGTACACCAGGTACACCAGGTACACCAGGTACACCAGGTACACCAGGTACACCAGGTACACCAGGTACACCAGGTACACCAGGTACACCAGGTACACCAGGTACACGCTCACTAGACTCATCTGGTAGATGTCAGTGCTGGCAAAAATTCTGAGCTCTCTGAAGCTTCCAGATACCCAACATGAAATGTGTGCTTTCTGGGGAGCAAGCCCAGTAAATCCCACCAGCCTGTATCAGAACCCACACTGACAATAAGGCTCAATAAGCCGTGCCATGAAACACCTACAGCTGCAAAGACAAAAAGAGGGAACAAGATGGCATAAGCAGTGCTCCACTTTTGTCTGCTCTGTCCTAACAAATTTTGGGTGTAAATTTAAACTGTCCATTTCCAAATGCAATGGGAATGTGAGCAGTGGACACCAAGTTTTTAAAAGCCTAACATTTGTGGCTCATTGAGATGCGTTTCGATCTCTGCACTAAGTGGAAATAACAAGCAGTCTATATCCATGTCACTGGGTGGCAGTGTTGCTGCTACTTTAATTAAGTTAATTAAGCTGTGCAGTAACAGAGTTAAAGCTGTACTCAACAGCAAGAACTGAGTACTGTTTACTTCATTTCACATGACCTTTGCAGTTCATCCCATGGGTATTCACTAACAGTACTGCAACTGCTGAAGCATCATAGGTCAGCACAGGTCCAGCCTCCAGACATCAATCACAAGAGCAGCTACAGGCACCTGTGCAGCTTGAGGTACAAGTGCAGAAAGACCCACTGTCCAGAAACACCTACCGAGTTCAAAGCTTCCCAGATAGTCCCTCCCCCCCCACTGACATACAAGGCAAGAAATGAGCTGCATTGCACTTTAATTGCACCAATGTAGTTAAATAAAATGGAGAAAGCAACTCTACATAGCCAACAGAAAACAAGCATTTACACAGTAAATCTGTAAAATGTACAGACCATTTAGTTTTAACCCAGCTGTCTAAACACAGATGTCCCAATGAAGCTTTTAGAGTTAAAGAAGAGTACTTTGATTTTCAGGTTCATTCCAAGTTGCCAAGTTACTGAGAAATTAAGATTTTCTCCTAAGAGAACACTGAATGGGAGCAGTGAGGGGACAAAAACCCCATTTGTTTTTGTTTTTTTTTTTTCTTCTTACCAGTAGAAATGAATGGCCATCACTACATCTACCAGCATTCATAGGAAGAAATAAGCAACACTTTTCTGCATACAATCAATTTCACCCCCTGCACCCCCAGAAGGGCATATCCTGTTACCCTGCCAGGAGATAACCAGGGACAATTAACACTACCAAGTTAGACACTGATCAGTTGAGGAAAGAGTTCACTGGCAAAGCTATCCTCCCAAGTATGGTCAGTGTCAAGAGGAGAGGGCATGTCACTGAAGGGTGACAGGGATCCTTCATATCCAGAGTCACTACCAGCATCCAGCAGATAGCTTGAGGCTGCAAAGCTATGATGAGAGGGAAGCAGATGAGAGATACCCAGCTCAGGCATTAAGCTGTCTACAGGCTCCTCTTTCACAGACACTGGGACCTCAGCAATAGCTTTGTCTTCAGGCGGAGAGAGAGACACTTCCTCAATTTTCACAAGCATATTGGTTTCATTGCCCATCTTAACAGGAAACTCCAGCATTAAGGGTTTTGTGTACACATGATCAAACCTTATGAGTTCATTAATGGCCTCCAGCTTAGCTGATGGGGACCCCAGAGAGGGAGAGGGGGAGGTCGGTATGGAATTTGTTTCTCCACACATCTCTTCCTCCAGCTTCTCCAGGCTGGATGATTCTGAATCAGCACATTTGAGAAACATTTCTGGGTCCAGAACGTCCAGTAATCCGAACAGGAGATCAGACTGCAGAATAAAATACTGTTTTAGAAAGACAGCTTACCACTGTAACATAACAACACATTCACTGTGGCATAAGTTCACCTTCATCTGAAAAGAAAGATACACTAACATCACCACACAACCGCAGTTTTACCAAGAGCAACTGTCAGTTCCTGATACTGGTAGGACAGTCACTGATCAGAACTACTTTGTTCATTAACTCCAGGGAATAGAGATTTCTTAACTCCACGCTGACTGCATATTAATACATCCTCAGTATCTTCAGACTCTTCACATACCAACACCACAGTACTTACTGGCTCTAAGGAGTTCAAGAACCAGGCACAGGCAGATCTGCCCATGACCAAAAGTATGGTAGTTTTTAGAGTCTTCAGGATAGGAAGAAATCCATACCCAATTATCTTCAAGCTCCAACTAAGCGTAGTCATCAACAACCAAGCTTGTTTTCAAGAAGTTACAGTATGTCATCAGCATTTGTATGCATTTGCTGTATAAGCTAGAAGACTGTCCAGGCAGTATTTTTTAAAGAGTAACAGAAATTGAACTTGTTGAAATTGCATTAACATCTCCTGGACTCATAGGGTCCCATTTGGACTTGAACCACAAGTAGGGTATTCCAAAGCTTAATAAACAAACTGTCAAAGATCAGAGACTTCATATTAAAAAGCTCTGAAGCAAGTTCTTAGACTACTCAGGACAGGAG